TTTTTCAACACCAACACACACATGATGGCGTCTGTATTTTATAATTCTTGACAACTGGATGTATTAATTTAGGAGCTTTTTGTAAACGTTAACTTCCGTCACACATCCACTAATCGCCTCGATCGTCTCACTACTGGCTGGCTCCCTCCTTCCACGTCTGGCTGTCCCTGGTCTAAAGTTCATCCACACCTCCACCACACACTGAACCATCTCCAGTACGAACATACGCTCTTGTGGTGTTAAAGCACATGATATAAAGCGTCGGTTGCGAACCTTAGTAATAACACTTAATTGGTGTGTGTGATGATAGTAGATGATGATGATGATGATGATGATGATGATGATGATGATGATGATGATAATGATAATGATGATGATGATGATGAGGATGATGATGAATGGTGACGATAATGATGGCGTATATGTGATGACGACGATGATGATGAATGATGATAAATAATGAATGATGATAATGGTGATGATGAATAATGATGATGATGATTGATGCTGCTGAATGATCCCCAGTTATTATAAGACAATTCATCATCACTACACACACACTTGGTTTGAGTTACAGGGGTGAGGTTAGGTTTCATTTCACTCCACATTATGGCTTCGTCCCCGTGCAATAATAAACTACCTCAGAGTTCCTCATTTACTATTTATGAATGTTCAGTCATACTAATTCCCTCAGTGGCAAACCTCTGGATGAAAGGCTAAATATAAAATGATAATACACGCGTAGTTGCGAGTGGCGTGGTTGCTAGTGGCGTAGTTACTAGGGGCGTATCCAAAGGCTGAGTATTTTTTTTTACCATATTTAAGAACACCTGATATCGGGACACAAGCCATCTGAGTGGTTAGTTTATCCAATGTTGGTGCAGGCGAAAACCGGAATCGTGCTACGTCAGACATACATTTAAACCAGAGGCGATTCGAACCCTGGACTTGTGGGAGAGAAATACGCACGTTACGATATACAACCCAAGATCCAAGTGAACCCCTGCTGTTGGTTCGTCTCCTTCTCCCTGGCTGGATTTTCAACCTGAAGTGATTGCCCTCGGTGGACTCCCCGCCCACCTGGTACGATGTCCTCCGTAAACTTCCTGACCTGTCGTATGTCTATGGGAAAGGGTCGCGGAAAAGGGACGTGATTGCTGCCCGTATCATCAATTGGTATGACTTTGCTTGGGAGATTGGTATCCCCGCATCCCCTGAGCAACGCTCTTATGCATTATGCAGAAGACCCGACAGCCGCACCCTTATCCACTACCTCCTAAGATGTCCCCACACACAACGCTTCCGTGACGCCTGCTGGACCACCACTCCACGACCCCCTGACGGAGACACGATGATCCTCCCCATACTGGCCAGATATTATGTAAATTACATTGATTATGTGTTAAAGGAATATCCTTCCTTCCTTCCTTCCTTAGGCTTTAGTAAGCCCCTTTATAATATTTATACTGTATATACCTGTGACACTTGCTAGATGCTTCTGGTGTTATTGTACAGGGGTACCTAGTGACAGCACTAGGATCCCGCTTCCTCTATCAAGGAATAAACAATAGAAATTGAATTGAATTGAATTGATCCAAGTGACGCGCTAGGTATTTACACTATCAAGGGCAAATAAGTATATTGGAAATGTTGGTTAGTGATCCCATTACATAATTTACTTCAGCAATAGCAGCATATGGGCTCCGGTGACGATACCTGCCACTCTTACCCTAACAAAAACTTCAACTGAACAAGGTGTTTAACATGACATAACCAGGCCGATAACCCTCATGTATGTATGTATGTATGTATGTATGTATGATTTTTACTCAATAAATTCATACAAAATCAAGGTCCCAGTACAGGTGGATAAGTACCCCGCACTGCAACAACAATGTACCGATACTAATTTTAGGATTTTATTCATATATCCACATATTAGCTAAGGTTAATAGCCATCTTAAAAGCAGTATTATGTCTATCCACAAGCTAACTTTGGTTAATAGCCATCTTAATAGCAGTATTATCTGTCTATCCACATACTAGCTTAGGTTAATAGCCATCTTAAAAGCAGTATTTTCTGTCCGAGCCACGGCATCCACAACTCCTGTACACACGGCGGAGAGCTACACTACCGCCTCCTCCTCCCTGGACCCCACAGTACAACAACACAACTTGTCAGGGCCGGATTCAGGAGTGGGCAAAGTGGGCAGCTACCCAGGGGCCTCCACAATCTGGGGGCCTCCACATATTACAATATTTTATTTATTTGTTCATTCATTTGGATTATCTTTATTTTCATTTTTTAAAATTCATGTTTATCTATTCCATCACGTAAAACTATGTTCAGCAAGAAGCTAGCTACTGCTTGAAATTCATGAATGCCTGGTTTTCCTATGAACCGTATATTTTTAATGAATGCTATTGTTTGTGTTGCTAATAATATGTTTAGAATTCCACAAACATATATTGATTAAAAATGAACTACCTGTACATGGAATAACGAAATTGAGATTAAAAAACAAATAAAATATTTTTTTTATTATCATCCATTACAAATGCCATCAGGGCGCTGTGTTTGTTGACAGTCGGTCGGAGGGGGTTGGGTTGTGTAGTATCTGCATATCGGTTGTCATGTGTCTGTCGATTAAAGAGGAGACCTGCGTCGCCCATGATTAGTGAACTTCCCATGAGAAGACATAAACATGTCTTGCAGATATAAAATGAGAGAGAGAATTGTCATGTGTGCTTGTTGAGTGAAGTCGTTGCCGCTCAGTGATGAATGATCTTGTCAGTTGTCATTTCCTAGAACATGTCTTGCAAATGTACAGTGAGAGTGCAAGTGAGAGAGAGTCGATTGATGCTTGTGCTTGAGTGTGGGTGGGTGTGCTCTTAGAATATACGTTCACATATATAATTGTGCTTTAAGATACTACAGGTCGATTGGCTGCAAATAAGTTGAGTTACTTTTATGTATTTTGAGTACATTAACTATGTCAATGATGGTTTCTGTCAGTTCCACGATCAGTATATACAGTACAGTCAATGATGAAAAGGAGGCGAACCGACGGTGAGCTTTAGGGGTGGGACTGGGAGAAGTCAGAGGTCCAATTTGTCTTACGTTTTTAATTATAACGAAAAATTAGGTGTCCGTCTTTGTTGACAGAAAATTATTGTTGCAGAAATGAGTGGAATGGACAGACACAATGGTATACGACGTTTCGAAAGTGGTGCTGCAACGAGAAAGACATCTAAAGAACGTGCTGAGAGAGACGCTAAAGAATTTACAAAAACACGTCGACTGACTGAATTCTTCACCCGTCCATCAGCTTCAGAACATCTAATCGAGTTAGGACTCTCTAACCTTCTCTCACCATGAACGGTTACGAGTTTGACAACGTGGCGCGGATACGTCCGGATACGCCGACCTGCCCCAAGAAATTAAACCTCCTAGTTCTCAAGAAGTTTTTTGAAACTCATGGGATCATGGGGGTCACCTAGGTGGACCGACTGAAGCTCCATGGTGACATCAAGATCACCTTCGCCGAGAAGGGTATGCCCGCACAGCTCGCGGAGATCCCAGACATCAACGGCATTCCAATAAAGATGATTGCCTACAAGTTGTCAAGAAGCTGTCCGACACCACTGCCCTCATCGGACACCATGCAACCTTACTCAAGGAGGCTCAACTAGCGTGGGTAACTGTGCCAGTCAAGCCCTACTGCAGACCGAAACGCCGTTACAAATGCCAGCACTACGGGCACACTGTCAACAAGTGTGAGGCGCAGGAGGATACCTGCTCCCTGTGCGGCAGCCCCGGACACCGCTACACTGTCTGCCCCAACACAGTAAAAAAATGCGCTGTCTGTGGCGGCCCACATTCCTCCACCGATCGGACCTGCCCCAAATGGAAGGAGGAATGCAGGATAGCCAAGGCTCGACTCGACAAGAAACTGAGCTACAAAGAGGCCCTCCTTACTGTACGCTCCCAAGACAAGAAAAAACCAGAAGAAAAGAAAAATCAAGGAAAGAAAACCCAAGGAAAGAAAACTCAAGAAAAGACACTCCACAAGGAATCAACAACACCACGAGGCCCGCGGAGCTGAAGCCCACGTGGTCAACCTCACCGTCTCCGACTTCTTCCACACCTATGAAGACCTAAGACACGAGGAAGACGAAGAACAAGACCCAAACACGAATGAATGGACACTTCAAGAGAGCAAGAGGAGGAGAATACCAAGACAGAAGACCAAGACATTTCCTCCAAACAAGAAAACAACACACACAATCAAGCCGACCAAGTACTGAGAAACCATGGCCCAACCCAACACGCACCTGGCGCTTGACCTGACGCTAGCCTGACTGTCCTGCCGCCTCCTCGCCACGTCCAGGCGAGTTGCTGCTGCCTCCAACTTAAACTCCCTCACGCAAGCGGTGTTTAGCCACTGCACCTATTCTCTCCTTCTAAAATTCACTTCAATCCTCCCTTTATCCTTCCCCTGAACCTTCTTCCCCCTGTCACTAGCATTTTATGTATGTATGTACATCTAATCAGTGCTTCTGCAAGCTCATCTTCAAAGCAACCAGAACAAGTACCTGCATGTGATGCATCAGCTTCCTTTTTATATGGCAGCTCTAGCCTATCTACAGGGGGAAATGACCAGACTGCTGAGGAGATTGAAATTGAATCAAAGCATGTGCCTCCTGAACTGCAAATGGCAACTACACAAAATTATGACATTGACATTAGCTTATGGTCAGAACATTTGACAAAACAATTTATTGATTATTGGGCTGCGAACGGTTCTGAGAGTCTCCACCACAGTGATGCTAAATTTTTGGATGCAAAATCAGCAGTGCAAAAAGATGCAAACAATGTCACTCGCAAGTGCACACCAGCCATGTTTGAGCGAAGGAATCGAAATGGGGAAGTTGTAAAGCGTTCGTGACTTTGTTTCTCCCCCGCAAATGGGCGGGTCTACTGCTTCTTTTGCAAGCTAATGGGTGTTTCAAGATCTCAATTCACATCTGATGGGTTCTGCGACTGGAAGCATGCTAATAGGCTTGTTGTCCATGAGCTTTCAAAGGACCACATTCATGCAGTTATGTCAGCAGCAAGTCGTTCAAAGGGAGTTGGACGTATAGATTCTAAACTAACTACGCATGTGGGTCAAATTGAGGAGTATTGGTGTAGTCGTCTAAGGCGATTGATCAGCGTGCTTAAATTTATATGTGAAAGAGGGCTAGCTCTACGTGGAGATGATGAAATAATTGGATCTCCTCATAATGGAAATTACTTGGGATTACTAGAGCTTTTGGCCGAGTATGATGATTTCCTCAGGCAACACATCCAGAATAATGCTAATCGTGGCACTGGTCATACAAACTATTTGTCTTCAACCATCTGTGAAGAAATTGTCAGACTAATGGGCAATGAAGTACTGAACGAAATTATCTCACGTATAAAGCTCTCAAAATATTACTCAATTTCTCTAGATTCCACCCCTGATGAAGGCCATATTGATGAACTAACTCTGATAATCAGATACATGGAGCATGACACACCTGTTGAGAGACTTGTGAAATTCTTGCCAAATCAAGGACACAAGGCTCAAGAAATGTTTGAAGGTTTGATGAAGTTTCTTGCAGACAATGACACTAACATTCAAAATTGTCGTGGGTAATCTTATGATAATGCAACATCTATGAGTGGGAGGTACAATGGTCTTCAAGCCAAAGTTGTAGCTGAAAATCATCATGCAATTTGGATACCCTGTGCTGGTCATTCATTAAACTTGGTTGGAAAAGCTGCAGCTGAATGTTGTCAAGAAGCTATCTCATTTTTTTTTCTTGAGGCAATTTATGTGTTCTTCACAGCTTCTACACATCGTTATGCAATTCTTAGTGATTTATTGAAAACTGTAGCGTCTGGCCCGGTATCTGTGCCAAAGAGGATTTCCACAACAAGATGGTCCTGTCGAGCAGTTGCAGTGAAAGCAGTTGTCCAAGGTTATCTCCCAATCCGTGAAGCACTTGCTAAAATAGCTAGAGATGAAAATGAGACGAGCAAAACATGTTATGAAGACAATGGTCTCCATGATAAGATGTGCAAGTTAGAGACTGCTATATATGCTGTGTTTTGGCATGACATTCTTCGCAGAGTTGATGCAACAAGCCATGCAATGCAAGATCCTAAACTCGATTTGAACACAGCAGTAGCAATGCTGAAGTCCTTGGAATGTTTTGTACGAGAAAAAAGAGATTGCTTCCATGTTTATTAGAAGAAGGGAAGGGAAATGCCAGAAACTGGGGATTATTCACAGACAATCTCACAGTCAGAAAATTTTCGGGTTCAGAATTTCCTTCCAGCAATTGATCAGTTCCTGAGTTCACTGGATCAACGGTTAAAGGCCTATGAGGAAACCTGTTCACTTTTCGGGTTCTTGTCTAAACTGGAGTCAATGAATTGTGACGAAATTGAAGCAGCTGCAGCAAAATTGGTTGCCGAGTACAAAAATGATTTGGATCAAACACTTGGAGTTGAACTTGTGCAGTTTACAGCATTCTTCACTCAATTTCTTGAAGACGAAGATGATGAGAAAGGGAGGGCACATTACCTTTACAAGCTGTTGATAGACAAGAAAGCTGTAGATACATTTCCAAATGTTGAAATAATGCTACGGATGTACTTGGTGCTCATGGTCACAAATTGTTCTGGAGAACGTTCTTTCAGTAAAATGAAGTTTATTAAAAACAGACTTCGTAAAGTGCCTAGTCTGTAAATAAAGGTAATGTTATTTTCTATTTTGCAATTGATCAATGTTTGTGTTCAATATATACGTTATCCATGGTCGATGGCAGTTATTTTTATTAAAATTCTTGTTTTTTCCAACATGTTCATACTTTTGTTATAATTTCATCAAATTCATTAAATTGTTTATTTGTTTTACTATTGGATGCAAAACTTCAATTTTATTTATAGTTGAGTTAATACTTATTCTGAATCTATCTGACCTTGGACTTGAAGAAGCGTATACATGCATTCTTGGACAGAACCATTATTTGAGTAGAGGTTTATCTGATTAATAATGCAAAGAATCATCTCTCTGTAATAACTAATAATATATTCTTTTCTGTGAAGTCTCTTGAAAATTTTCGACATGTGCGGTAGTAGCTATATCAGGGCTGGTCGACTTGAAACCACATGAATGACTCCAGTCATGTCTCACTTGTGTGTGTGTGTGTGTGTGTGTGTGTTGGGAATTTGTACACTATCAATAAATATACAGTTAATTAAAAATTTCTCATTGTTCTAATTTCCTCAATATAACTGCATATGGCTTCAAAATTCTTCAAAGAAGTGTTCAAATTTAAAAATTTTCCCGGGAGGCTTACAGCCCCCCCCCCCCGGAACTCCCAGATGTTTAGGCTCGCTTCACTCGCCACCCCACCCTTTTGGGTAGTTATAATGAGGGGGGCCTCCACAAAGAGGCTGCCCATGGGCCTCCACAGGTCTAAATCCGGCACTGCAACTTGTTTATCACCTTACCTTCACTCAACTGCTAATAACCACAACGTAGAGTCCTGGAAGTCCTCACGACGCCACAAACACGAGGTAATCCACAAACAGCAAACGTAGAACATGGAAATAGCGATCAAATACTGTATGACCACACACACACGTTGCGGCCACCACTGCCGTGCCTCTAATGATCACTAGCGAGTGGCGAACCCGAGGTGCTTCGATTCCTTAATTCATTGATTCGCTTTACTGATTCATATGAAAATAATCGACTGGACGGCGGAAAGAACACCATACACGATTGGTCCGTCATCTATAATCTCATTAATTTTCTTAAATCACTTCTATCCACCATTAGCTAAAATAAAACTGATAATTATTAACGAAAGATAGTCATGAGTTTCGAAGCCTTGTCAGCGATCCACTCTTACGTCACTAAACTAGTCCACAACCAAACAAGCAGTTGGCTTCCACGGTTAGCATAAGCGTAATACTTCCATTACTATTTTTATTATTATTACTATTATTATTATCATAAATATTCTTCTTCTTCTTCTTCTTATTATAATTATTATTATTATTATTTGGAGTTTTAGGCCGTGAGACGTGAGTTAATGTTCGACTGATGACTCGCTCTTTGCTCATGAAGAATATCAAAATCATCAAATATTAATTTATTTTTCTTTCTAGTGTGTGTAGATGGGAGGAAAGGTGTGTGGATTGGAGATAGGGTATGTGGATGGGAGGAAGGGTGTGTGGTTGGAGGTAGGGTGTGTGGATGGGAGGTAGGGTGTGTGGAGGGGAGGAGGGGTGGGTGGGAGGAAGGGTGGGTGGATGGGAGGGAGAGTGTGTGGATGCGGGGAAGGGTTTGTTATTTATTTTAGTTTGTTTGGCTCTCTGAGGCTGGCTTGAGGTTTACGGCTGACTAGCTGAAGTGAACGGCTGGCTGGCTTAGGTGAATGGCTAGCTGGCTGAGGTGAATGGCTGGCTGGGCTGAGGCAAATATCTGGCTGGCCAAGAACCCCACCAAACAGATCCTCAATGCCAGACAGGCTGCATGTCGTCATTGGCAAGTACTGGGCAAAAACTGGCTCCAGATTGTATCTGCACCTGCGCCAGTTTTGGTCAAGTCTGGTCTTGAAGGAGCTCACTCTCGGTGCTGTCACACTCTCTGGCAGAGTGTGCCAAGAGTTTACAAACTCAGAAAAAGTTGCCTTGACAATTTTCCGAACTTGTGGCTTCTTCAACCATAAGCTGTGACCACCCGCTAGTGGGGCACGTCCCCCAGCTCCAGGTATGAACCCTCGACTGAGTAATGCCCTCTGACTTGTTTATAAATTTCAATTAAGTCGCCCCTTGACTACCTGTAGTATAAGCTAGGCAATTCCTGTAGGGGAGGGATATAAAATTTGCCCCACTTAAGAGTTTGATAAAAAAAAAACAAATATGAAGCACTATGAGTGTATTGTATGTGGAGATTAAAGATTCACATGGTATACTGTGCGTGTAAACTGAGAATATGAACAAGTACTGTGTGTACTTGTACTGTAGAGTACATTACTTAGACTTCTCCGTCTTCTACTACTCTGACTAATTGTCCTCTTCTGTTCTCCAGTTGATACAGTCCTATATTATGGGTCTCTGCGTAATTCTAATGGGTTAAGTTTGTCTGTGTTTTGGCTGGTTAGCTTCTGTATGGCTGGTGATTGTCCGGAGGCCAATCTGGAAAATGGGTGTAGAAATAGTGGAGGGTATCATTTTTGTTACAAGTTGGCCACATATGTAGTATTAATGTGACATCCTTCCTGGTTCAGAAAAGAACATAGGTGCGACCCTTGGAACAGATTTTAAGTGCTTTTTAAAAAAATTATTATAAGGGTACCCCTTAATAGCCATATTTCGATCCAGAGTATTTGTAAGCTTTTAATATCCCAAGACCAATGTGGTGTTCCTGATCCTAGCTCACACGGTAGCATATTTTATACATAGACATATACTGTATGTATACATACATACTTACCGGTATACGTGTTTTTCTTGTTGACCTTATGCAAAGGACTATTACAAACACAATGTACACAACCGAGTCTAGTGCAACATTGTAAAACAACCGTACTTAACTTAATATTCTAATCAAGCAAGTCACTATCATAATCATTGTTGTTCGAGTTTGGGCACATTCATGATATTTGTAAGCTTTTGTACAAATTAGTCAGATCCTGTTGTAAGAATATTGTCCTGTTCTGTACTCATGTCCAGATGGTGTACATCCAGAAGTTGGCATCTCCACATACTCAATAGAAAGGCTTTCTTCAGTCGTCAGTAGAGGCAGTAGCTTGTCTTGATAATGGTACTAACCACATGTTGGATTAAAAAGCTCCGGATTTGACGCCAAAGAGTTCTTCTACACTAATGCTTGGTCGTGTGCTCGGCGGATGCGCACAAATCGGGCATCATGGGTTAGTGGCAGATTTTTTAGCCTGCACTTGCCCTTTCGGAATTGGGTGCAAATTAGAGTGTAAATTGACTGTCTCTCTCCTGTATCATATAGTTTACATGCTAGAAAACTGACATGTGGTGTCACAACCTGGGATAGCGTGAAAACCCGACAGTAGTTGAGCTTTGTTTGCTGCTCTCAAGTTTCTATCTATTTGTAGCCGGTGCCGGATGGAGATAAACTGCACAGTTCTTGCCTCAGAAGCTTGTCAACATCAATCTCTGGATCAGCTTCTATTGATACAATAAGGTTGCATTTATACCAAATGAGCCGAGTCGAGTCGATTCATTACTCATTTGACTAGAGTCAAATTGACTCATTCCCGTTCACACCGAAAGAATCAAAACGAGTCCGGTTTGTCACTAAATTGTCAGTACCCAGCATGATTTCGAGCTGTATGGACACTCGCTGAACTATATATGCTCTATTGTGGGTTCGGCGCCGTAGGAGGAGGAGAATCCGAATGTGGATACATCAAAATTTTCGGACTAAATTATGTCTTTGACATGCAGTTACATAATTAGCTACAATTCGACTCCAGATTATTTCCAAAGGTGGCATCATGGGTTTTCTGGTCCAAGAAGGTCTCTCTCAGATAATCTCTGGTGCCATCTTGGAACAAAAATGTGATGCCAAGGTCACATTATTGGGAATGTCCTCCAGATTATGAGGAATTTAGTGGGAATATGACATATACTCTTGAGTATCAGTCAAGATAAGTTAGAGAAAATGAGAGACTTCATCACCTTTAGGAAAATCACAACATTTCATTCTCAATCAGGAACTTTTGTTATCAGTCAAGAAATAAATTTGGTGTGAGTTTAAATAAGGGATAATGAGGAGAGGACTCCACCAAATCACTTTATTGGCGTCGGACGAGAGCGTAACACCGCCTTACTTAAGATGACAAGGAGATATACCGATCGCAAATCATATCAGGGCCTTATTGATAAACAAATACCCAAAGAAACATTAATGATTCTGATAACAATAATACTCAAAATCATAATAATAATCACAAGACTCCGTAGAATAAGTGATAATAACATAATACATTTAGTTATAGTAGTGTACCTGATTTTTAACCTAAATATTAATTATCTATTTAAGAGTACTGTATACAAAATAATCATCTGTATAATAATATGACATAAGGATATTAAATAGTAATGAACCCAAAAACTGATACGGGTACCAAGATATAACAATGACGCACTGAACTACACAACACTTGTCGATGATATCCCTACTTACGTCTCTCACACGTCTTATTTGTGTAAAATATTTGGAGAATTCATTTGTTTTTTCTCCCGAGATTTGCAGACGATAGAACGGAGAATATATATATATATATATATATATATATATATATATATATATATATATATATATATATATATATATATATATATATATATATATATATATATATATATATATATATATATATATATATATGTATATATATTTGTTAGTTTTGCACTCTGCTCCCACTATCTCCTCAGGTGGTAGAATTTTGTGTGGATATTTTAGCCCATGAAGATGAAAGAATTCCCAGTTCCACAGCTTCCGATGGGCATCTGATCTTTCTGAATAAATGTACCTTAAACCTACGTACTAGACTATCCATTTGATCTACCGTTAGAGACACAGGAAGCAACATTTACGCTCATTGGCTACGAGAGTCATATGGCCGAGGAACTTGATTGGCTGATAGAAGCCTTCTTGGGAGGCTGGGTCCAAGAAGGCTCCTGATTGGAGGAGGAGGAGGGCAAATCCATCCAAGAGGCTCGGGGACTGGACATCACGTAGCCAATGAAGTGACTGAATTTTATTTTTTTTGTGGTTCTTTTATATTTTCGAGTTTTTATTACTTTTGGGGACAACTTTTGTAGAGAAAATAAAGCGGACAGTAGAGGTTTGGAATACATTTACTTTACTCAGTTACAAAAACTTTTTCATTTATGTCTGCATACATATTATATCTTCCTGGTAAGGAAGTTGTGTTTCTTCGGACTGATATTTATTAATTCTGTACAAGACGCCATTTTTAGACAAAGTGCACCCCCATTTGCTATGTTTTATAAAGTTTGTGTAACTGAGTGTGACTTGGTGGACGTCTGCTTGATACACAACGTTACAGTGTTATTATTACCACTTATACACAATTTAATTATATATATATATCCCTATATACTTTTATTTGGAAACAATGAAAGAAAATATATATCATATATTATTATCCTCTGACACCTGTAGTATATTTACGTCCAATGTAAGCCATCCATAGTCCTAAGAACCAAGCTTTGTGGATAATTTAGTGTCCTGTACGAAAGGGGTTGAAAAGTAAAGCGACAACGAGATACATGTCGCCGCCGAGTTGTGACCTTGGCGACGCTAGCAGAGGTACAACGCCCGCCGGCCGCCACCCCCAGGTCGAGCGTCGCTCAGGGAGGGACGAACCAAGCGGTGTGTGAAGGAGGAGTATGGTCGGGACGCTCACGGAAACACAACATTTGGTGTCCGTGCGTCCCTCCTGCAGGCCTGAATTCTCGCCGGGTCGTCGTCAGGAGGCTGGCTACTACTGTGGGAGGGCCTTGAGTATGGCGTGCACCTCCTCCGCCACGGCCATCAACACAAATTCGAACTGCGCCTTACTCTTGACCATGTGGGGCCGCTGGTCACGGATGTGTTCCAGCGTGGCGGCGATGTCGATCTCCTTGGCACCCTTTGCCATACGGTTCAACACCATATCGATGAGGCAGTAGGTCCCCGTGCGCCCGATCCCATCACTGTAAGCGAATGGAAATGTTAATGGTGGTGTAGAACATATTATAGTGTCGAAGGGGATTTGTAGCATGGGACATAGGGGGATATGACACTGGTAATACAATGGTAAATGTAATGTGGGACACGAATATATATATATTTTTTAAGGGCATTAGCCCACCCGGGCACAGGTAATTTTTAATGACCCAGATCAAGGCCTGGGGCGAAAATATAATATAATAAAATAATAATAATAATAATTATGATGATGATAATGGTAATAATAATAATAATAATAATAATAATAAAATTAATATCAATATATTAAATAAATAACAATTATAATAAAATATAATAATAATAATAATAATAATAATAATAATAATAATAATAATAATAATAATAATAATAATAAAAATAATAATAATACCCCCTGTAATAATAAAGAGCCATGAATAAATACAAAAACAAATATAAAAATATCAAGAGTGAGAAACGCTATATGTATGTTGTGTTGTCAAAGTAAGAGAAACAATTGAGACCCTGCAATTGTGTGTAAATGAGGCAGAAAGTCAGATCAGCAACCTTGGACTTGGTCACAATTTTTGTGATGCCATATGGCAGCAGGGTCCACCATTGGACAACACATTATGCTTCCAATAACTTCCTAAGCGGTAGTACCTCCCAAAGACAATGTGTAAAGTTGGTACACAACACCATCATCGTCACCAGCCCTGGGACACACACAACACCATCACCTTTCCACTAGCCTTGGGGTAGTGGTGATGGCTATGGTATAGAGCCGTGAACACACACAACACCATCACCTTTCCACTAGTCTTGGGTGTTTCCCTGCACGCGTCACAATTGATCCACTGCTGCTATTGATGTATGAACACTTTACCTGGCACTTTTCTCATCTTCACCTTACACCCAATAGTTCTTTGAACAATGTCCTCTATCTGTGATTATAAAAAAACAACAAAATGAAAAGATGAAAGATGATTCCTCCTCCTACAAGGTTGTAGCTCAATGGCGTGTCATGGTTATCACTTATTTTTACTTGAATGCAAGAATGTCATCTGGAATTTGTCTATACGCTTCTCAGAAATACATTAAATTGTTTCATCTCATGGATGTGATGTTTTTAAGATTCTCTGAGACTTGTTTGTGCAACTGAATTCTGGGGTGGAAAGCCGCGGTCGAAGGGTAACTAGGCAGAGTGTACTGACCTTAAACACACATGTGTGCCCCACGCAATACACTCACACACACAGTTGCCATACCTACGCCTTCATCTTGCTAACTACACCTGCGGGAATAATTCATACAGCAATTTTTAACTCCGAGCCGGAACTGTTTTTTGTCTTGAGTTGTAAGCAGGAAATATGAGGCTGTAAGACAAAATGGACTAAAGACGACGGCTCCAAGGATTTACCCTCTAGCTGTTGATGCCACCATTTTCTCTTGATCACCATGGCAACGAGACAGCATCACAAACATGGATGGGATCACTATAGCAATCATACCCTTAGCAACGGAATGTCTGGGATGGTGGTGGTGGGTGTTGTGTTGGTGGGTATGGTGGTGTTGGTGGGTATGGTGGTGGGTGTGGTTTTGATGGGTATGGTCGTGATGGTGGTGGATACGGTTGCGGTGTTGGTGAATATGATTATGATGGTGGTGTTGGTGGATATGGTAGCGACACTTCCCCCATACTATAAGCTGGGTGGACACACTACTCCTATTCTATAAGCTGGGTGGCCACACTACCCGTATACTATAAACTGGGTGGCCACCTTTCCTCTGTACTATAAGCTGGATGGCCACACCTTCCATTACAAAGTGTACCATGTGACCACACCCTCACTTCGCCCCTGGTGCTTTCTTAGTCACAAGGCGGGTCTGGAGTATAGCAGTGTGGCCAAGTGAAATGATAACCTATGACTGTATTAAAAACAATTCTTTATGGTGAAGGTACCGAGGCTCCCGGAAGATTGCCTAGAATTATTTCTTTCAGCCTGTTTACATAAGTGAGGTGTGTTGTGGGAGTCGGGTTTTGGGAAACGTAAACATGAAAGTGTGTGTGTGTGTGTGTTTTGTCGGGTTGTCATGGTAACGAGAGAAAGCGTCGCCAAGGGCATGGAACCCGTGTGTGAAGATTATAAAGCATCACTATTCATCTCCACAGTCTCCTTGCTCTCATCGCTAATTATGGCCTTCTCTATTATCGCCGGCTTCATGTCACATTAATTAGGGGAGGAGTGGTGGGGGTGTAAGGGCATGGTTGAGGTGGAGGAGGATGGCTTTGGGGGTAAGAGGATGGCTTTGGGGGTAAGAGGATGGCTTTGGGGGTAGGAGGATGGCTTTGGGGGTAAGAGGATGGCTGGGGGTAAGAGGATGGCTGGGGGTAAGAGGATGGCTTTGGGGTAGGAGGATGGCTTTGGGGGTAAGGATGGCTGGGGTAGGAGGATGGCTTTGGGGGGTAAGAGGATGGCTGGGGGTAAGAGGATGGCTTTGGGGGTAAGAGGATGGCTTTGGGGGGTAGGAGGATGGCTTTGGGGGTAAAAAGGATGGCTGGGGGGTGGGAGGATGGCTTTGGGGGTAAGAGGATGGCTGGGGGTAAGAGGATGGCTTTGGGGGTAAGAGGATGGCTGGGGGTAGGAGGATGACGATGTGTTTTTGGGGAATGGCGGATGGCTGATGGGGGGGGGGTAAGAGGATGGCTTTGGGGGCTATGGCTTTGGGGTAGGGAGGATGGCTTTGGGGGTAGGAGGATTTGGCTGGGAGGTTTGGGGGTAGGAGGATGGCTTTGGGGTATGGCTTTGGGGTGGGGGTAAGAGGATGGCTTGGGGGTAGGAGGATGGCTGGGGGGTAGGAGGATGGCTTTGGGGTAGGATGATGGCTTTGGGGGGGGGTAGGGGATGGCTTTGGGGTAAGAAGATGGCTGGGGTGAAGGGGGATTACTGGGGGTGTAGGGGGTGGTGAGTAGAGGGGTGTAGGGGAGTGGCGGGGCAATTTTCCAAACCAGGTAGTGTTGTCTGGAGGGTGATGGCATATAACGAATATTCCTCCCCCCCCCTTGTTTAGTGGTGATGAATAAGTGGTTCTTTTGAAAGCCACTGAAGTGAACATCCGCTATAATATTGTACACGGATAAGAATCCACACAAACACTGTTTTCGAGAGCTGAAAATAACATTATTGTGATATTGCGATACAAATTTCACACCAAACAGGTAAACAAATAAGGATTTTTGAGGTGAGAATACTGTGAATATTATCAACTAATAGAAAATGCCAGACATAACACCGGACAAGACAAAGGTGTGGAGTTCATATCCTGAAACTTTGTGCTGACAATAGCACAAAGAACACAATAAGGCGAGGGATCACCTTTCCTTTTTTGTCAGGGATAAAGTTAGTGTTATCAGCGCCATTAAACACCGATACAAAATCTTCTTTAAGGTAATAATTAGTGGGCCGAAACAGAGGCAGCGGATTACTGAGAGAAAGAAGCCTTGCTCGTTACGCGTCGTAATAATAACCAATAACACTAACACGGCGCTTCACTAAGTCAACAAAATTAATATCCTTTGTTTTCACTTGAACAGAGAGGTCGGGAAAAATATTAGTGGGGTAATTACAAGCTTATTATTTAAAAAAAATGAAGACTCGTAAAAGTGCGAATTAAGTCTCTCCTAAGGAAGGGAAGAGCTCCAAGCAGTGTGTTGACAACAATACGGGGAGGAGAATAAGCTAACCAGCGCCCGGCAAAAGATCAACAAGTGTGTGATCCTCATCCTCCCCCCAACACCATGACAACCATCTTAGCCTTGTACAGGTGACAAGGACTATGTGTTTGTGGTATCTTCTCGCAGGTGGGAAGCTTGCTTGAGAATATCATTTTATCAACCTTTGGTCTTCATGCGGGTGACAAGAGACTGACGTTTATAGGGGTTGTCAAGTTTGCTCTTACAGGTGGCTTCGTCTAGGTAACAAACTATATAAGGTGTTTATTATACCTTTAACACTGGTGTAAATCATGTTTGAAAATAACAAAACAACTTTCATGGTTTTGAACAGGTGACAAACAGCAAGTACAGTAGTTAAAAGATTCTGAAATTCCTTCTTGGCGGCGGCTTCATGCAGGTAAAAGACAGGTCCATAGTGTTTTGAATTACTCCCTCGCTGGGTAAGTTGTGAACACTTGAAAGCAATACTGAAGGTAGCTAAAGGATAATTAGGCATTGTCAATTAACTTTTAAGACGTCACAAATTTCTCTGTGAAGTATTTTTATTGTTAATCAACTTCCCAACCCATATCGTGACACAAACAAGTCTCTCCTTCAGCATGAGTCAACTGGATTATATACTATAGTTGTACACAAGTGATCGCGGGCACCTTCGTGCCCAGTGAAAGTGCTTGGCTAGCGTACAGCGAATGAGGGTGCGCCAAGTCCGTATACTTGCATCGTTTTCCATCGTAAATAAAATGGTTAATTAATGCCTTCCTAAAGAAACCATCGACATGGAACCAGGTCTGTTCTACTCTACGAATTGTTTGCGATTTTTCCACAAAGTTTGATGAAAAACGATTGTGCCGTTTCGGCTGCCCAGAACAGACAGACAGACAGACACACGCCTAGTCCTATAGTATATTAGATGATGTGTGAGTCATCTGACACATGTCGCTTGGCACTATGTTGCAGCCACACGCGCCCCATAGATAGGCTGCCAAGCATTGCTGGATAAATGTGTGGGGGGTTATGTTCATGTTAAAGATAATTAATTTTATCTGTATCACCTGGGTGTGTATGATAGATAGGTGTGTGTGTATGTGTGTGTTTCACAAGAAATAAAGTGTGTGATATACATGTTTATATCATTTGACTTACTCTTTGTGATATACTGTACAAGGGAGAGAAAAACTTACCTGCAGTGAACGATGATGGGGCAGGAACGACCTCGATATGACTTGTTGACTTTCCTGAAAAATAATCAGATGAAAGTTACTGTTCATTGTCTTTCTTGTGTTTAGTCATGTTACTGAAGAACATATGTTGTGGTGTAAGGTTAGATGTCAATAAAGTATATGAAGAGTATTGTTAGACATACTGGATTGGATTTTTTTTATAAACATCAAAGATAATTTAGCAGTAGGGAAAGAAAGAAAATCAGAGGTTTATTAACATAAAGAAAAATAGTAGGTAGGTAGGTTGGGAGGGAGGTAGGCAGGTAGGTAGGTAGGTAGGTAGGGAGGTAGGTAGGTAGGTAGGTAGGTAGGTAGGTAGGTAGGAGGAGGGAGGGAGGGAGGGAGGAGGAGGAGGTAGGTAGGTACATAAATAGGGAGAAACAAGTACAGTGACAGGGTGTAATTTACCAAGATAAATATGCTGTATATTAGACATGGAGATAAATGGTTTGAGTGAAACGAAGAAGGATACGGAGACAAATACCTAGATATAGAAAGTATGTTTCACCCATTGGAACAACAACCATAATGACAGGATAGTGAATCAACCTGCAAACCCAAATTACCTCATTACCGACAACTTAATGAAGTTGTCCGTCATGGCTGCCAAACTGTATTGCAATGTACCTTCATTTTTACCTCTTAACTATTATTATACCACGATTGTGTAGCAAACTGGTGCAAGTTGAATATAGGTATTGGGGTTCATATAATCTTATAAAATGGGAGTGAAATAAGCTGGTACGTTATGGACACTGATAAAATACATATGGTTTACGGTTCCAACATTGTTGTAATAGCGCAGCAAACTAATAAAGGTGGGGTTGGTTTTAGACTTAAGAAATTCAGTTTATCTCATACCTTTACTGTGTAATTAACCGGTATTGACTATTTAATAATTGTAAGTTTCAACTAACATTACACCACTTTCGTTTCGACAGTTGCAGTACGTGGGGTAGCTATTATCAGATAAGAAGCAGACAAGTAAAGGCGGCGATCTAACCATATTAATATAAACAACACCAATTCCTGTCATAGAGAAACTGCTGAACCAGATTATACATTTTGCTGCATCAAGCTTTGTGGGCATAATTTTGACTAATGTGAATGTATCTGTTACAGTCGGAGGGGAGAGAGAGAGAATCTATATACTCCCATATTAACGATGCTGGTCTTCATCCTCGTAGATAAGCCAGAGGTACCCCGCCACCCACTATCATATTACTGGATGACAACCAATGATGTACTTTATGATGGGATCATTGTACTGTACTAGTGTTAAATGATGAAGCTTCATGCTTACACATTAGCACATCACTGCCAGCAATGACTGTATTACTGGTAGTCACCCAGGGATGGGACAGGCGAGACTTTGATATTCCTTACTTGTCTGTGAGAATTATAATGAATGTTAAATGTTTCTGAATGTTATCTCTTTTGAATCTAATTTAAGTACTGTAAGTGATGAACATATCCGGAGTTTATTAAAAAGGTAATGTAATATCACTATAGTTAAGACGATTCTTCACCACCGTGAGAAATAAATCTATTTAGTGACTTTCTTTGATACCGAACTTTTCGAGTCTTGGCAGCAGGGGAGTTACTGCAGGAGGTAAGTGGTTACGGTTGTAGGAAAACATCGTTTACCTTAAGACCGTCGCAGCAGCAGCCTGTCTGGCCCGCGCACGACCATCACTTTTGTGACTATGCAATTCCTTACAGCACATAATTGCAAAAATCACAAAAATGATGAGCGGACAGCGGTGGTCTCGTTGAGGTGAGGAATCCCTCACTGGTGGAGAGTCCCTCACTGGTGATGGCCTCGTGTGGCTGTCGACTGGTTTCTTGTATATAACCATATACCTGTAGTGTTTTTCATCATTTGCCATCTTCTCCCTAAGTCTTGTGACACCTCCGCTACACTACCATGTCTTCCCTACATCTTGTGATGGTGAGGGTGTCACAAGCCTTCATCCAGACTGGCTTTTGTATACAACTTTATTCTTTTATATACTGTATATATATATATATATATATATATATATATATATATATATATATATATATATATATATATATATATATATATATATATATATATATATATACACACTCTTCTCCCAGAAGTCTCTCTATTAAGAAGGGTCTTCCCCACTACAGTGATAACGACCTCTTTTGAGCCTCCTTTTGAAACACAGAACCTATCCGTAAGTGGGGTTCTGCCAGAAAGTAAACCAAATCCCACATGTGTGGGTCTCCGCTGGAATGGGAAAATGAGTCTGTGAATAAATGCCCCCATGAGTCAACGTGTGAGTCAGGTTAAGTAAGTGAACCACTACTGACCTTCTAAACTCGAGGAGGGCCTTGGTGGAGGCTGGGGTGCCGGAGTCTGGCCAAGAGAGGAAGTGGAACTGGGTGACTGTGCGGGTCTCCCCCGTGCGCACGTTCTTTAGGTAGAAAGACCTCACCAGGTAGTCGTCACACCAGATGTGTTCAGACACCAGATGAACCTGTACGGGGAGGAGAGGTGAGCGTTACTAGATTATATAATAGTTCCCGCAGAACCGAAGGGTTTCAATGTCATCTCCTTAAATTAAAGTATTCTAAACTTTGAATACAAAAATTATGAGTTCCATGAGGAGGGAAGCCAAAACAAGTAAAATCTTTAAAACACGTGACAGCGAAAAATAATCTCTAAAACCCACCAACTAGAAAACCTTAATACTGGATGAGGTCCTTCTAGTAGAACACGTCAAACACACGTACGTCTTAAGGCAGTCTAACACCGGATGCCACGCTAGCTACGCTGCGGAACTTCAGTCCCGATGCTTACTATGTGAGTGTTTACACAGGATAATATGCACGCCATGTATTTGGAGAGACACTCTCAGTATTGTTGCATCAGTCAAGATGGAGGGCAGTGCACAGTGGGTTTACGAGGAGGAGGAAATTTTACTGCTGACTCTAGGAATGTCGTAGAAAAGAAAAACGAAGTAAGTACATGAAACCAATGTTGATAAGGCCAAACTTTGACGAATACCATCATCTTGTGCAGGAGCTTTCAGCTGACGAAGAAAAATAAATGATATGGTTGGGAATGACCTTGAAGCAGGGCGCTAGCTGCCGTCTTTCTCAACATTCAGTCCCAGACTGCCAAAATGCTCTAGTGCGCGACGAAGCCACACCGAGAAAAAGTCCCCGGAGAAGGCACTCTGGGATGGTACACAGACGTCGGATATGTATCATCGCATTCAGTTTGAACAGCCTCGTTGAGAAACAACAGAAGCAATTCAAAGCCACACGTAATTTCCATCCGCAGTGTAGCTAGCATCTCATCCGGTGTGAAACGGCCTTTACCCTAAAACCTAAGAACTAAAAAAGAAAAAGAAAAAAAGAGGATTCTTTTTAGACGTCAAACCGTCAGCCCGGCGTGTGAGACTGAACTGATTAGATTATTTTAAAATCTAGGATTTCGACCAGGAACACAGGATGTAGAGGGTCCTTCCAAGCTGGTAGAACTGGACCTCATCAAATTATTAAAACCCAAACTAAGAGAAATCCTTCCCAAATTATCTATATATTAAGAATCTTAAATTTAGAACCTTCACACTGAAACTTCAGTTCAAGAACTTGGCACATGAAACTGTATTTAAGACCCCAAGAAGAGATCAAACACCGGTCGGCCTAACTTTACAGATTAAAACAGAGGGGTGGTAAAGATGCCTCCAGGTGGTCGAGTGTATGACCTCTCCTCGTAAGGTCCCCATAAACTGAGGCCAAGCATCTCTAGGTCTGATCCTAAAGCTAGTTGCCATACTAGAGATAAACATATTAGCGTATCTGACACAATGATTGCGGTAGAGGTCGGAGGGTCAAATAGGCTTGGGACCCTACAAGTGGCTTAACATTCTCGTCTCTGACCTCGTAGATGTGGTAGAGGTCGCTGCCCTCCTCAGGCCAGTATCGGTGGCAGAAGGCGTGGCCGTTCTCCGTGAGTCTTGTGAGCATGACGATAACCACACTGCCTTGTTCCCACACCAACTGCCAGAAGTCCGCCGCTGTGCTCTCCAGGGGACCTTGAGTCGCGATGTACGCCGGGTTCCGAGGATCATGGTCCGTCTATGTGTCGGGTAAAGATAACAGATTAAGCATAATCATAAAAACCATTTTAAAAGTATATATATATGTTAGCGGGAGAATCTCGGAAACTACTTTACCGATCTGTAGTGATGATGATGGATGGTGTTATATGTAGTGATGATGGATGGTGTTATATGTAGTGATGATGGGTGGTGTTATATGTAGTGATGATGGGTGGTGTTATATGTAGTGATGATGGATGGTGTTATATGTAGTGATGATGGGCGGTATATATGTAGTGATGATGGATGGTGTTATATGTGGAAGATGATATGGTGTTTATATGTAGATGATGGATGGTGTTATATGTAGTGATGATGGGTGGTGTTATATGTAGTGATGATGGTGGTGTTATATGTAGTGATGATGGTGGTGTTATAAGGAAAGATGATGGATGGTGTTATATGTAGTGATGATGGATGGTGTTATATGTAGTGATGATGGGTGGTACAGCGTAGTGATGATGATGGTAAGAGGCGTAGTGATGATGGGTGGTGTTATATGTAGTGATGATGGATGGTGTTATATGTAGTGATGATGGGTGTTATATGTAGTGATGTTGGGTGGTGTTATATGTAGTGATGATGGATGGTGTTATATGTAGTGATGATGGATGGTGTTATATGTAGTGATGATGGATGGTGTTATATGCAGTGATGATGGATGGTGTTATATGTAGTGATGATGGATGGTGTTATATGTAGTGGTGGTGGTGACGGTGGTAGTGACTGTGGTACTGGTGGTGATGGTGATAGCGGCATGTTTGTGGTGATAGTGGTGGTGGTAGAGACTGGTTGATAATAGTGGTAATGATGGTGGTGGTAATGATGATGGTGGTAGTAGTGGTGGTAGTGCTGATGGTGGTAGTAGTGGTGGTAGTGATGGTGGTGCTATATGTAGTGATGATAGATGGTGTTATATGTAGTGATGATGGATGGTGTTATATGTAGTGATGATGGGTGGTGTTATATGTAGTGATGATGGATGGTGTTATATGTAGTGATGATGGGTGGTGTTATATGTAGTGATGATGGATGGTGTTATATGTAGTGATTATGGGTGGTGTTATATGTAGTGATGATGGATGGTGTTATATGTAGTGATGATGGATGGTGTTATATGTAGTGAAGATGGATGATGTTATATGTAGTGATGATGGATGATGTTATATGTAGTAATGATGAATGGTGTTATATGTAGTGATGATGGATGTTGTTATATGTAGTGATGATGGATGGTGTTATATGTAGTAATGATGAATGGTCTTATATGTAGTGATGATGGATGATGTTATATGTAGTGATGATGGGTGGTGTTATATGTAGTGATGATTAGACAATAAAATAATAACAGTTTAATGCTAAAAAAATATACTTTGCTGTACCGTTGCTGTGGAACTTACATGCACCGTTAATGAACTATTGATGGAAGAAGTTTTGGGGACTGAACAGTGAGACAATGTGGAGCCTCCCGGAGGGTGGCGTCCTACCATGGCCTAGCGAATGAGCCGCCCGGACCAAACTTGGCATGGATAGCAAGTGTCATGTGGGGATCTAAAAAAAACTCCAACCATCCCGATCCGACACACCCAACCCGACCCGACCCGTTAAACCACACAAAGGTTGAAAAGTCGTATCACATCCCACGTATTATAGGTAATTTTATCCTTATATATACGACTACACGTTCACTACAACACCCGTACTACACGTTCATTACAACAGCAGTACTACAAGGTCACTACAACACTCATACTACACGTTCACTACAACACCATTGGACCCCAGGTCGCCTCTCAACCTCGCTCACAATGAGAATCCAGTGTGCAACATCAAAAAAGGATCGGCAAAGGCAAAACTCTTAGAAAAATGCAGCCTCATAGTCTGGGATGAATGCCTCAAGGCATCACACCTTTGGAGAAGTGTTCAGACACTCACCCTATCCATAAACATGAGAGTACATCTACAAGGAGAACAGGATGCTGGACGGTTTGCAAACCTTCTACTACAGAATGGGAATGGAACTTTCCCTGTTGATTCAGAAGGACAAATATTCATTCCTCAAGGATGTGGAAATGCTGTAAAGTCCTCAACTGAGCTCACTAACATGGTCTACCCAAACATTATCTACCACTACAAGGATCAAAAGTGGCTGCGTGAACGCGCAATTCTGGCACCAAAGAATGAAACAGTGGCTGAAATCAACATGACTCTACTCAGACAGCTTCCAGGCAGTGAGACCTCATTCAAATCAGTTGATACAGTAATCGACCAGGACCAAGCAGTCCAGTACCCAGCAGAATTCCTTAATTCTTTGGAGCCCGCTGGAATGCCTCCTCACCACCTCACTCTCAAGATTGGAACTCCTATAATGCTCTCAAGAAATCTTAAACCACCAAATCCTCTGCAATGGCACAAGACTGGTGGTGAAGAACATGATGCCACATGTACTGGAAGCTACAATACTGACAGGAAAAGCTAAAGGAGAGGACGTTTTTATACCAAGGATACCTCTCATCACCACTGACCTGCCATTTGAGTTCAAGCGACTTCAGTTCCCGGTTAAAGTGAACTTTGCCATGACCATCTACAAAAGCCAGGGACAGTCCCTAAAGATGGTTGGCCTAAACCTGGTGTTTCCTTGCTTCTCTCATGGCCAGTTCTATGTTGGATGCTCCAGAGTGGGAACTGGCAAAAATCTGTACATACTTGCTGCTAATGGCAAAACCATAAATGTGGTCTACCTTCATGCATGTTAATAATTACAATAGCAACACTGTAATAATAATAATAAAAAAGAACCATAAAGATATATAAAAATGAAAAAATAAAAATCAACAGTGAGAAACAATATACAGTCTGTACGTTGTGTTGTCAAAGTAAGAGAAACAACTGAGACACTGCAATTGTGTTTAAATGAGGCAGAAAGTTAGATCAGCAAACTGGGACTTGGTCACAACTTTTGTGATGCCATATGGAAGCAGGGTCTACCATTAGACAACACATTATGCTTCCAATATCTTCCCAGGCGGTAGTACTGTACCTCCCTGTATGGTAGCTGCCTACTACCTGGATCGATGGATGGACAGAAAACATAACCCCATCAAGTCGTCTAATACTGACCACTAATAAAAAAAAAAAATTATATATATACTGTATGTATATATATATATATATATATATATATATATATATATATATATATATATATATATATATATATATATATATATATATATATATATATATATATATATATATATATATATTGTTAAATGGCCAAAACACAGATATTAAGCCTTGAATACACAAAGAGGCAGCGTGACCGGCACTGTACTCCAGCAACTGTAAAGTTAGGTGGACTGGGTGTCCCCCCAGGAAGGAACTAGTGAATCTTCTCAGGCGCTGCATCACTTTATGTGATAGAAAAATACGAAGACCAAAAGTAGATACTAAGATAACATTACTCAAGCGGGGTATTAATAAGGAAGAAGAGATAACACAAGGGAAGGGGATTACTGGTGTGGCAGTTAACACGAGGGAAGAGAATTCCTGGTGTGAGAAATAACTAATGGGAAGGGGATTACTGGTGTGAGAGATAACTAATGGGAAGGGGATTCCTGGTGTGAGAGATAAATAATGGGAAGGGGATTCCTGGTGTGAGAGATAAATAATGGGAAGGGGATTACTGGTGTGAGAGATAACTAATGGGAAGGAGATTACTGACGTGAGAGATTATTGGTGGGAAGGGAGCATGCTACTCACGATGGAGGAGGCGTTGATGTAGTCAGAGCCGTTGAGGTTGGCGTGGGCGTTGAGGACTACCCTATTGTGATCGTAGGGCACGGCGTCGGGATACCTGTTCTTCTGGTTGTTCTCCGGCTGTGAGCAGAGAACAATGCACAGTGAACAGGTATTTACTTACGTCTAAACTGAAGAACAGGCAAAAGTGACTCCTTGTTTTAGTTATTCTGGGGAAAGAACTATTGGGTTTAATGTACATATGTTGTGGTTACTTAGGTTAAAGAACTATTGTACGTGATTACACCTGTTTCTTTATTAATATACCTGAATACACCTGTTTCTCTACTAATATACCTGAATACACCTGTTACTCTACTAATGTACCTGAATACACCTGTTTCTCTACTAATGTACCTGAATACACCTGTTTCTCTACTAATGTACCTGAATACACCTGTTACTCTACTAATGTACCTGAATACACCTGTTTCTCTACTAATATACCTGAATACACCTGTTTCTCTACTAATGTACCTGAATACACCTGTTTCTCTACTAATGTACCTGAATACACCTGTTACTCTACTAATGTACCTGAATACACCTGTTTCTCTACTAATGTACCTGAATACACCTGTTACTCTACTAATGTACCTGAATACACCTGTTTCTCTACTAATGTACCTGAATACACCTGTTTCTCTACTAATGTACCTGAATACACCTGTTACTCTACTAATGTACCTGAATACACCTGTCTCTCTACTAATGTACCTGAATACACCTGTCTCTCTACTAATGTACCTGAATACACCTGTCAATGTAAGTCTCTCCTTCCCTGACCACCTCCCTAACGTTCCCTCCCCTCCTCGACTCCCTACCGTTCTATCTCCCTCCCCTCCCCGACTCCCTACCGTTCTATCTCCCTCCCCTCCTCGACTTTCCCTACCGTTTTATCTCCCTCCCTCCCCCGACTCCCTACCGTTTTCTCCTCACCCGGCTCCTACGTTCTATCCCTCCCCTCTCGACTCCCCTACATTTTATCTCCCCTCCCCTCCTCTGACTCCCTGCGTTTTATCTCCCTCCTCCCCCGACTCCCTACCGTTCTATCTTCCCCTCCTCCCCGACTCCCCACCGTTTTATCCCTCCCTCCTCGACTCCCCTACCGTCTATCTCCCCTCCCCTCCCCTCCCCTACCGTTCTCTCCCTCCCCTCCCGACTCCCCTACCGTTCTATCTCCCTCCCTCCTCCCGACTCCCCTACCGTTCTCTCCTCCTCCCCGACTCCCTACCGTTCTATCTCTCCCCGGCATCCCTACCGTGTTCTCTCCTTCCCCTCCGAGACCACCTCCCTACCATTTTCTCCCCGTCCATCTCTCCTAACTCCTAACATTCTCCCTCACTCTCCTCCCTTACGCCTCTGCGTTTTCTTCCTCCATCTTCCTGACTCCTTAACGTTCACTCTCCCTCCTCCCCTGGCTCCCAAACCTTTCTCTTGCTCCATCTCCTGACTCCCTAACGTTCTACCCCCCCTCCCCTCCCTGACTCCCTAACGTTCTCTCTCCCTCCCCTCCCTGACTCCCTAACGTTCTCTCTCCCTCCCCTCCCTGGCGTGCTCAGGATGATGAACGTACCTTGAGGGCGAGGGTGGTGGCGCAAGGTTCGGCTTCATAGGCACACAGAGCGATCCACTCCTGTTCGAGGCGGTCCTTGTTCTTGAGGTGGTCCTCCATGTACGACTGTTGGAGGATGATACCGTCGGAGGTGAAGGCGGTATATTTGGCTGGGTGAGGGAGGAGGGATGTGACCGTGTGTGTGTGGAGGAGGAGGAGGTGGGTGGGGTGGGGGTGTAGTGAGGGGGAAAGAGGAGGTATGGTAGTGAAGGAAGGTATATGTGGTAGTGAGAGAAGGATGGTGGAAAGAGAGGAATGGAAGTGTGAGAGGAGGAGGAGGAAGACTGGGAGAGTAAGAGAAGGAGGAGGAAGAGGAGGAATCGCCGAAATCATTGGGTAACAATATGAATATAAGAGAGAGAGAGAGAAGATGTCTTGTTTATCTTCATTCCAGCCAACTACACACACCTGGCTAAGTTTTAACAAGGTGACGTTCCTTAATTAGTGTTGCCTACTCCCAGGTGATACTTGATTTTATCATCAAAAGGTTTCTCACGCTCATTTTAAAATATATGAACTCAGTTGAAAGGGGAGACGATTCTTTTTTCAAGAGCGCAAATTAACCGTAAAATGATGTAGGAAAAATAGAGGTCGGATGAAAGAAGTTGCCTGAAAGAGAGAGTTTTCTACCTGTTAATGAAGCGGAGGGTGAAGGTGGTAGGTGTACGTCTGCTAGAGATGATGACGGGCTGAGGTAAAGACTATTCCCTCAGTTATCTTATTAATTATTACTCTTGGTAGATATTGGAGTCTATAGGGCTATAGCTCCCTCCCGCTGTCTACTATTATTCTTGGTAGACATAATGTTCTACTTCAACCTATATACTGTCTTGTAGTCATAATAGACATAATTATATAAGCATATTTTCATAAGGAGGAAGTAGAGGCGTATACTGGTGTTATTATTATTATTGGTATTAGTATTGATGATGATAGTATTATTATTATTATTATTATTATTGATATTATTATTATTATTATTGTTATTAGTATTATTATTATTACTTCTTCACATACGCAGGGGGAGGTGTGTACTGTCAGCGTATACTGTACTAGTACACCTACAGCTTCACGTTACCCCACATGAGAAAGAGTGACGTGTGTTCTGAAGACCTCTACCTATACTACTGACAAGGACGTCCCAGCTGAGAGTTACTTATTGTACTATGATATTATAACCATCAATCCTTTCATTATTAAACTGATCTTCGTCCTTTTATTTTTACTCGTTCTTTTTACGACTATCATCATCATCATCATCATCATCATCATCATCATCATCATCATCATCATCATCATCATCGTATCCTATAATGATCTTTATTATTATTATAAATATTACTATTATTATTATTATTATTATTATTATTATTATTATTATTATTATTATTATTATTATTATTTGATATCATTCTTAATTGAGTTTTATTATTATAGTTATTATTATTAGTGCTGTTTTTATGATTAATATTGTTATATTTTTCCCTCATTCCTCTTATTTTAGGTATGTATAGGTACCTTTTATTACAGGTGTGTACATAGAGGCCAACAGGTGTTTGCGAGTGAGTCACGATCCCTTGTTGATCTCACTTACGCCTCTGTTATTTAAAGCAATAACATTACACAAGCTTAATTATTGATAATCCATTTAACTGGTTCATCCGTTTTGCCTAATGACGCTTGTTTTAAAAAATTCCACGAGGGAGCCGGCGATTATATAGATAGCCCCAGCGCTTCATGGTTTGGGGGGGGGGGGGCAATGTTACCAGATTAATATATATCTGATAATGTTTCTTGGATTTATGCAGCTATCATGTAGAATAACGGGGAGGCAACGTTTCGGTGTTTAGGTATGGATGAAGAGTCTGATGTTGAGGTTCGTCGAGAACTTCATTAGGGCGCGAATAAATGCTATAGTATACGCGAAGGTTTTAGGCGATGTTGTGTGTGAGGGTCTCGTCTGTCTAAGTGTCAGTGGGTTAAGCCGGAGGTAAGCTCTTGCTGTCTGGAGATGTTACGACCAACCTCTCAAGATAGGTGGTTAGATCAGGTCCTAACCACCCTGGCGCAAACCAAACGTCCGTGGCTCAAACGTCCGATACATTCCAGAGCAGACAACGAAGGCGGAGGTTGGGTAACAGTTACAGGGGTGACCCAGATGGTGGTGGAGCGTGGAGCAGACAGAGATCGAGCTGTGATTTAGACTCCACCCCAAGGAGGAATCAAAGGAGAAGATAATGTAGACTGTTATAGAGGGATAAAAAAAAGGCACAGGAAGACAGTGGCCAAAGATCATGTACAGACGAAAACATATTCATGAACTACAGGTGCGCAAGAACAGGTAAACGTAATAATTAATCCACAAGTAGAAACTGACGATGGTCCTCAGATGAAAGGAGTGGTCGAAGATAATAAGTTAATTAATGATAGTGATTCACAAGTAAAATAGGACATAATAATCATGATTCACTGGTAAACACAGGTCTTGTTGGTAAAGGTGAAAAGGTGGTTAAGGTCTCTGGGGATGAAATAAACAAGCAGATATGATTTACTCACCAGTACCATGTGTCCAGTAGAGATGTCCATGTTAGACGCTACGGGTTCCTCGCTCCTGAAACAAAGAACACCCTACAGGACCTGCCAACACACAGTATCAAGTCTACAATAATACACATGAACTATTTTCTCCCATACATTATACCGGAGCACGCATCCAGTTACGGTATCTCGGTGCGAGTTGAGTGTTATTTAAGAATCGGGGAGTTCAGCGGTTCAGAAATGCCTTGTCATGGATTTTGGAATCCACAACACACTGGACACGTCTTACACACATCAGATCCGAAAACAAGACCGTGCTAACTCTGAGCCCTGAACTGTCCCCTTTAGTGAGCCAGGCAAGTACTTTTCACATATTTCTAGTTCATGAAAAAAATTAACGAAAGCAGCTTTAATAATCCGTCTCTGTACCAGAGCTCCAATAAACCTCATATATAGCCATATTATGGGGAAAATAAGAAGGACGTGAGAATCTGAGCCCAGGTAGGTATCAGTGGATATACAGGTTGTAATATTAATTAGCAGCAGGTGGCGGCCATATCCTGTGGCGTGCGTGTTATTTTTTTTCGCGTTAGTGACAGAGTTGCATCCAGGATGGAAAGATAGAGAAACTTAATGCAGATATAAAAAAAGAGTATATATATATATATATATATATATATATATATATATATATATATATATATATATATATAAGATAACTAGGAAACAAATGAAGTTCAGTGACTTGTATTTTCATTAATTTCAGCGGCAAGTACACCGTACTCACCCCTGAAGATGTGAAATACACGAACGAGTTTAAACCATGTTTCGATGTAGTTATCAGCATATATATAGATCACGCGCACTATAGTATATTATATATATATATATATATATATATATATATATATATATATATATATATATATATATATATATATATATATATATATATATATATATATATATATACAGTATGTGTGTGTGTGTGTGTGTAAAACAAAGTGAGACAACAGGAGAAATAAAGAGAAACGAAGTGCTGAAGGATGTTAGAGAGAGAGGGAGAGAGATATCTCACATATTTTTTGTTTTAATCATTTAATAATCTTATCCACTTACCCAGTTTTATATGAATTAAATTCATCTCGTCGTTGTTTTGTGGAAAGTTGTATCTCGTCGACAAACTAGTTAGTGAGGCCGTTTGTGCCAGCAATTTATTTGTGTACGCCCTACCGTTAGGTTAATTGTGTTTATCATGGCCGCCGGGCAATGAGGATTTATGTTTGAACATAAACAGAAAAATAAATAATTTTCATTATAGTGTTCCTCTCCCCCCTCACCTCCTCAGCAAAAAAAATACTGAACTAGAATACTCACATTAACTCCCAACCCCCCACCCCACCCCCATCCTTACCCCCCCCCCGCCTTATCCGCACATCATCGAGCGGATAATGTGATCTAGGGCTAGCAGTATCCGCATTTAAGTGAACCTACGCCTTATCCCATGATTATCAGCCGGATATTAGGGAACATGGTAGTCTGTTCGTCCTCGCGTGTATTCCATTTTATCTAAACATTATCTTGCTTCCTATGTACCATTTTCTTTCCCGCGGCAACCAGTACTGTGCAAGACGTAAGGTTGTAGAATCGTATTTAGTTCGGTTGTTCTGCGAGTTCCTCCTAGTCCACGTCTTGTCCTTTCAGTTAAATTAAATAATTAAGGAAAATAAAGGGAAACACTATACCATATTATAATCAAAACGAAAAGCATATTATATAATTCATTAAGTTTAAAATTAACAATATACTCGTATATACTACAAATAAAAATAAATTAAACGAATAAAAATATATTACAATAAAATGACAACTAAAACAATATGATTGAAAAGCAATGAAAAACAAATGAGAAACTTCAAAGGAAAAATATAATCGTAACAGAATGGTGTTCCGTGACTCACTCTCTCTTGTTTGTCAGAATTTTAAGTGAGACAAAAAGCTGATGAGGGGGCTAAGTACCTCACCTTACTATACCCCAGTCAGTAGTGAGACAAAACACTGGTGTGGGAGGGGGGTAAGTACCTCACGTCACAAGACCAAGATACTGTCAATGTTGAAAGCCGCTCCCTGCCTCAGTACCCGCATACATTTACTGCATATATTATGTATTAGTGTTATACAATACTACTAAGCTGCTCTTTTTGGTACACTTCTATCACAGGTTAAGGCGTCACCAGTACATTTCTCCTATAGGTTCAGGCAATAAGGCTTTATCATACTACGACAATGTGGAAACTACCAAAGGGTGAATTTTTATTACCTTCATCTGTACCTCTACCGGGGACTGTGAGGATGGTATCTGGACTTGACTTAGCAGCAGTGTTGTCTTAGACGGTCTTATGGCAGTAATATATACAACTCACTTACTCATATTAGATCTTAATCGAGTAACACAGATTTGTTTCTTAAATAAAACTGGAGAGAAAAAAGTCCATGAGAGAGTAGTCATTCTCTTAATGGAGTGTTGGTATTAACTTGTATATAGGGTTTTGTTCCACACCCTGGTAGAATGAATCCATATTGATGTCGATAGAGCAAGGAACTCGGGTCCAGATCTGTTAAGTAGCGCTTTGAAGAATCACTCTCAGTTCCCGGATCTTGTTTCAGTTATCAGTCGACACTTTGAAACCGCGCGTAAGATGTATCCTTAACAGACAGAATAGAGTATTGCTGAAATCTCCTTTGAGACACTTGTAAGCTCGATACAGGTTTCGAACGACAAGATCAGAAACAACGCTCTCTTTTAAGACACTGCGAAACCGAATTTTAGTTTTCCAATGAGATGATATCAATTAACAGTTAAAAAATGACAAGAGTAAGAGCGTAGCGACGACCAACACCACCAACAGTATCATGGACTGAGCTCCTCCCGCCCCTCTGCCATGCCTCACTGCCCCCCCCTCCCCCCTCTCATCCGTCAGCGCGTACGAATCACTCTCGCACGTCTGTTAATTACAACTTGTCCTACATATCATCTTGCAACATATATTTATTATACAAAACCCAGACGGAGATGAAATATTAATTAAAGTCCTGTGGGGATTGTTCTAACGAATAAGACAAACGGGGTTAAGTAATGGTCGATATTAGTTGCGGTGATGAGGAACTACAGTGATGTGGGACCTGCAGATAAGTTGCCACAGTTGCCAACAAGTCATATATTTACATCATTGACGTAACTATGATGGCGGGGTAGTGTTGGCACATTTTTTTTTCCGGGTGCAGAAGAGAACCCTAACATAACGCCGGTAATTAAATTTGTAACCAGATGACTGAGATGTGTGTATAGTGTATAGCTCATAGTGTGTGTGTGTGTGTGTGTGTGTGTGTGTGTGTGTGTGTGTGTGTGTGTGTCGTTAATTACATGTGGCGCCAGGGAAACATCCAACAATCACCTGTTGACACACACACACACACACACACACTGAGGAATCTAATTGTTCACAAACTGCTTGGAATAAACTGTAACTTATCAGTAATTGAATAAAATCTCCAGGCATTGATATTTGACTCTGAATAATTTGATAACATTAGCCTACAGTGAGCCATGGGTGAGCGGGAGACGTCAGGGTGACAAGGATGTTTGTGCCAGTTACTGCATAAAGCATAACTCGACTCACTTATGAACGCTTACTCTGACAGATATGATTAATGCCGTCGTTTGCTTTTGGTTGTGACGCTAGATGTCATAATTCTAGGTCTAGATTTACACTCTTAATACACTTAAATTATTCACTTCTAACTGGTGTTAAGTGAACCTACAGCATGTGTCTAATGACGTAAAATCAATGTAATTTTGATGTTATTTTGAATGGTCATTTTGTCAACCAGTTAGATGTGTTTTTACATATTCACTTACAACAAAAATTCGGGTATAATGATCTTAAAAATCCCGGGCTCTGGTTGAGGTAATAGTTAGTGATGAGTGGAACTGACAAGCCGGTATTCTCAAGGGTTTATAAGTATTTGTTCTTCTAAATGGGGATAAAAGTTCACTTAGTTACAGTTTATTAAATTTAATCTCGACGCCGTTTTGTCCGCCATCCTCGTGTTGTGGGGTAAGTTATACTGCTCCACCTTACCAGTTAGGAGAAAAACTTCACCAAAAGTAGATACTTGGGACTGGTGTTGTCATTACCGTCGCTGTAACCGGGATACTTATCCATGCCTAAAATTATGAAAGCAATTTTTGGTGATGGGTGAGACTTGTTGCCTTCCTAACACACACACACAGCTAGCTGGTAAACTAATAATAACCGGTAGAGCTACAACTGAAATAAACATGCCAGTGTGAGCGTCTTGTATAATAAAGACTGCATCTTCCGTTTCGTCGCCATTCAGTGATACTTCAGACCGATATAAAATCAATATGCAACTGATAAATATTATGATAGTTTGTTGTGTTTTGTATAAATATGGACCAAATCAAACGGGTGTACTTCTGAACTTAAGAGAAATGAAAGGCGTTTTTCGCATCGCTGATGTGAACGTGACCATCTCCCTTACACCTATCAATGCTTAGAACGGCGTAAACATTCATTAGTTATCGCGCGATGACGTAGTTTACACCTTGCGTCGGTGCTCAGCTGTTGGTCGGCGGTGGCGGCGGTGGTAGGTAGTTAAAGCGGAAGGTGTCGCCCGGCCTCACCGTTAAAGGAGAGTTTTTCACCAGCGGGACTGTTGTGTTCTCGTTTAGATTTTTCACGAGATGATGTCTCTTCCGTCCAGAATGTTTCTTTTTTTATCCACTTTATGTGACGACTTGTAACGAATGTGGGACTTGTGAGGGTAAACCTGTGCTTGAGGGGGCAAGTTTACACACACACACACATTAATGGTATCTACCCAAGCTCCTCACCTGTTTCAGTAGATGGTAGGGTATTATGCAAGGAGCAGACCTATACACACAGCCTTCACGAATATAACACTACACAATGGGCAGACCAATACAAACAGGGTTAGTTTTAAGGTTACCGGTCCTGGTGCGGCTCTCAGATCAGTAGTGCCAAGCAGCCGAGTGTGAGCTGCCCGAGTACGAAACACGGTAACCATTTATGACAACCGACTTCAACCCACCAGGCCTAACTTAACCTAGTGTTTAACCTGAAATAACCGACTGGGCCAAACTTATCCAAATTTGACCTAGCATAACCCATTAGAACAAAAATCAAAGCAAACTTAACCTAACCCACCATACCAAATTTAACATAACCAGATCTAATTAAACCAGTCTGACCTAACTTAATCCAGCAAAACGATTTTCGGAAAGTTTGTCTGTTTTCTGAGATGGACGGTGCAACACAGCGAGGGCGTACTAAGACAAGTCGGCCTTGTGTGTAAGAAAGCTGTTGTATATTTTGGAAAAACAAACTTTGAGCAAACCGGTTCCCGCAAAATTGTATTGAGAGACGCACCCTGGACTGTTGTTACCTAATACTGACTTAGCATTTTTTTAAAGACTTCATGTAATAAACTTCAGTTAGATAGTTTAACCCTTTTAAGACTGACAGATATATCCTTTGAGGCTGACAATTTAACCCTAGGAAGACGACAGTTTAACACACTAGAGTCAACGTTTTTACCAGTTGATGTCGACGTTTTAACTCACCAAGGACGGGTTTAACCCTTTGAAGTCGACGGTTTAACTCTTTAAGAAGGATAGTTTAAACCATCGTCTTAGAAAAAAAGAGAGTTAAATTATAGACTAATTAAAATATACTGACATGATAGGTAATACACTAGGGAACTGAATTATACTGAAGACATAGACGTAAATACATGAAGTAAACTCACACTGAAGACAGATCACAGAGAGACAAAGAAGAGAAAGGAGAGACGAAAAAGGTGAGAGAACATGGACAGACACGAGAATAAGGACCGAAAAGAGAGAGAGAGAGAGAGAGAGAGAGAGAGAGAGAGAGAGAGAGAGAGAGACACTGACCATGAACTAGTAGATGACCTGGAGGACGGGGAGTTATTGCCGTTGTCAAGATCCCTGGATAGGCTGGGCATCCTCTGGCTCGGGGCCTGGGTGGACGGGGGCTCGCTCTTACCTCCTTCTCCTGCCTTCCCTGCCATTATCCCGCGACATAGTTCCTGGAGGAGGGGAAATACCTTGGCGTGAGAGTGCGAAGTTCATTCACAAGCTTGGGGCAAACAGTCTTTATAAGTGTGGTAGATTGTTCACAAGCGTGGGGCAAACAGTTTATATAAGTGTGGTAGATTGTTCACAAGCGTGGGGTAAACAGTCTTTATAAGTGTGGTAGACTGTTCACAAGCGTGGGGCAAACAGTCTTTATAAGTGTGGTAGATTGTTCACAAGCGTGGGGCAAACAGTCTTTATAAGTGTGGTAGATTGTTCACAAGCGTGGGGTAAACAGTCTTTATAAGTGTGGTAGATTGTTCACAAGCGTGGGGTAAACAGTCTTTATAAGTGTGGTAGATTGTTCACAAGCGTGGGGCAGTCTTTATAAGTGTGGTAGATTGTTCACAAGCGTTGGACAAATATTTGAGGAGGAAGATATATGTGTGGGAAGATTATCTGAATACGAAAGTTGTTGCATGGGAAAATATTCAAAAGCGCGGGAAAATGCCTGAAGCGTGTGAATATATCAATGAATTAGGAAAATATTTGTGTGGGAAAAACATCAGTGAAGGCGTAAATGTCTCTGAATATGGAATTAGCCGAGGGAAAACTTTCTTGACTGTGGGGGAAATTATTCATGAGCGTGGAAAAAGAATACTGAAGAATCCCGGGAAAAAATGTATGAGTGCGGGGGAAATATTCACTGGGTGCGAGAAAGCCGCTATGATTAGGAAATATCTCCGGGAACATATCCATTGAGTGGGCAAATGTTCATGAGCAAGAAAACATCAACAAACCTGGAGAAATATCTCTAAGTTTCATTACATTTGTGAGAATATATCTTTCGTGTGTTGCGTATATGCGTTTGTTGCTAAGGTTTGGAAATCACATACAGTATAGGTTGGCAATCCAAACCAGAATGAACCTTAACACGTCAATGGTGAAGGTCTGTTCTGGTTTATAGAAGAGAATCATGGCACGAAGATGAAACTATATCCAGATGGTTTCGAACACTGGAAAACGAAGCACTCAGGAGAACACTGAGAATAAGATGGCAGGGTGTTGTCAGAAATGAGATCATGCGGGAAACTGCTAACGTACCGTACGTTGATGAGTGGCTGATGAGGGACCGGTGGTGATGGTTGGGACACATTCTTCGTGTTCAACCTGAGAGAATAATAAGGGAAGCTGTGAGGTGAACACCCGGGGAACAAGGAGGAGAGGGAGAGCGAGATCCACTTGGCTACGGACCATGAGGGGAGAGGCGGAGGGACAACACTGGTGATGACATGCAAGAGGTCGATGGGGGTGGCGGGCGTGGTTACGTGTAGGCCCTTTGTGTCGCACGGTGTTGGAGGATGTAAGAGGTAATGTTTATGGGGAAAACATCCAAGTGCTTGAGGAAGTATATGTAAACAATATCCCTGACCGTCGGAAAAGAGAAAGTTACATTGGCAGCGGTTTGTTTCTGCCGAGAAATGTGACATTAAGTCATGTGTGTAGGCTTATTAACTAATTATTTATAAAACAAGACACATTTATGAAAGGAAACTTGACTGGATGGGGTAAATATTTTTTTAAATTCTGGATACCATGGATGAAGAGCAAGGATACAACCTGTTGACCTGACCACACAACTGAACCATATACTGTGTGAGACTTACGTACAAGAGACGTAGTGGCGAGTGACAAACACCATCATTATAACATCCAGTGAGAACTGAAAATTCAAATTTTATGTTTTTCATACATGACTCACCTTTGGCTGACCTCTTCCATAAGACTAATCATCCAAAATATAGTTTCATCATCGGAAAACTTGTAAAAATTAGCAAAAACTTGAAAGCTTTAAATTCTGTCAATTATGTTTACATATATGATTTAATTCTTAAACTATTTCCTCATTCTCTAAGTAACTTTTATAGTAACATGCGGCCTTTGCCATTTGTTACAAGAGTCTTAATTGCAGACAAATTTAAAATTTATTAAATGTAAAAGTTTTGCCAATTTGCGCAGTGATTAACTTTTCATGTTTTGGACCCTTTTTACTCTCAAATAAATTTTGCCATTTTTTTCAGATTTTTCCAAAATCTCTCCCCAAAAAAATATGTGGAGTCGAGGAAACACTTACAGGTCAAGGTCTATCAGTGTGCACGTTTTGAACCAGTCGATGACAAGATATTTTCTATTTATTTTCATGAATGGGAATTATTTAGGGTTCTCGGATAAAATAAATAAAAAATCAACCGTATTACCATCGTTGTAAATCCTGTAAATAACTATTGTAGATTGTTGACAGTGCAGTATGTACTGTAACAGCTTTACACTGTGTGGAATAAACTACGTTGTTGAATTACCGTGTATAATAAATACTCCTGAAATATCCTATACAGTGGACGATTCATAAACAAGTGAAGATCTATCAGCGTAAAGAATTTCAGTTTAACTGGACACACACACACACACACACACACACACACACACACACGTTTTCTTATTTTGTTTATTATTTATTTGTATTTGCTTCTTCAATATAAGCTGAAATAGTTCCTACCTCGTCTCCACCTCGGCGAACTCCATTATCACTGATTTAGAGATGAATTATTCAGTACCTAAACCCAAGCCAGGTGAACCAAGTGTGTGTGTGTGTGTGTTGGACCTCAGACTAATGACTTCAGGGAAAATTATTACGTAGAAGAGATGAAAAAATAGAGGATAAAACGGATGACTGTGGGTTGGGGGGGGTTAGGTGATGAAGGGAGTGTAGGTTAGTGTGATGAGAGGGGCAGGTGAGTGTGGTGAGAGGGGTGGGTGAGGTGATGAGTCCACCCCCTCCCCCCTCCCCGACAGACTGACCCCGTGTCATCCTAGCCGACTCCTGAGGATTTTACGCCCTTTCCCGTAAACACATTTAATTCACACAGGGAAATTTAACACCATGCTTACAGTAGTCGAGTTACCTGCTCTCTATGTCTGCTGCCTGGGTGTATGTATGTATGTATGTATGTATGTATGTATGTATGTATGTATGTATATATGTATGTAAGTATGTATGTATGTATGTATGTATGTATGTATGTATGTATGTATGTATGTATGTAAGTATGTATGTATGTATGTATGTGCTGATAACCACAAGGAAAAAGAAAACACGAAGTTCCCAAGCGCTTTCGTGTAATTCACATCTTCAGGAGTGAGTCTGTACTCACCCCTGAAGATGTGAATTAATGAATTTCCTTGTGGTTATCAGCATATACCTGGATCACGCGCACCTACAGTGATTTACTTGCATGTATGTATGTGTGAAGGATGAGGTGATTACAGTTGTACAGACACGAATATGAACATAGATGGAAGAAATTATAATATAATGGTGACTCATCCGTAATAAGTAACTATCTCACACACACACACACACACACACACACACACACACACACACACACCTTGATGATATGTAAGTTTCAACGTTAAATATGGAACAGCTTTATTATTATTATTTTTTACGGGACGAAAATACAGCAGGTGTTAGCAGTGGCACCATCTGAGGCACTGGTGTGCAGGGGATGATAGAAGGTGTTAGACGGGTAGAAAAGTATCTTTTAATGAGGAGTGTGATGGTGAGGATGGTGCAGAGTGTATCAATGAGTGATGGTGAAGGTATTAGTGTGATGGGGAGTGTATTAGTGAGTGATGGTAATGGTGAGGGTGATGGTGAGGGTGATGGTGAGGGTGATGGTGAGGGTGATGGTGAGGGTGTTAGATCATGGAAGTAACATAATATGTCTAAGGGGAGACAGTTCTATACTCGGACTACAATATAATAATATGTAGCGGGTGTGTCAGAGAGCCTCCCGGGGCCGCATCAAGTGGTGGGTGATCAAAGCTGACCACAGTAGTGAAGTTAACCGAAAATTAAAAGAATGTCAGAAATCCAGCGATGAATCAAAGCACAAATGTTTCATGAGTGTACTTGTGGAAGTCCACGGCCTTTACCCCTCACATAGTTAGGGAATTAAACACTCGACAAGTGTTTCTCATATGGCAGATGTGATAAAAATATAAATAAAAAATTAGACTTAACACATGTGAAAACTTTTTAATAGAAATAAAATCATGAATCCATTTAGGTGAATATATCAGTGACTATTATGGCTCTTCTAAAGTTGACCCCAAAATGAGGATTTCGTCCTAAAACCACGTTTCATAACAGACAGAATCGAACAATTCTGTATAGCCAGCAAGTCTAGGGGAAAGTCGAATGATCTCGAAGTTGAGACTATCCTCCACCTTTATACAGGATCCCCCTCTCGAGAAAAGAACAATAAAATCAAAGAAACAAACAAACACCAGTCACGGATGTACCGGAACAGCGAGAAGGCTGAGAGTTCCTACTGCCGACCATTACCAGTCCTAACTCACCCTTGTTTTACGTTGGTTACAATATGACGCCACAAGGATCATATCATCATATCACTCTCCCTTCCGACCCACAGAGGGAGGGAAGGAAGGGGAGAGGGATACCGAGTTGCTTGACCCCGAACTTTCTTATAAATTGGGATTTCAGGATCAAACTCCATTAATAACTTAAGTCGGGCCTGAACAACTCCGTATACTAAACCAAGGTAGACAAGAGAGGCAGGAAGTACCACTATAGTCTCCAAATGCTCCAGCTCATGGGAAATGCATCCTCACCCCAGAGTCCTCCTGTAGCAGAGGCGACATGAAGACTCGGGAGACGGTGATCATGTAGCAACGTAAACACCAACACCAGCGGACATATTCCCTGAGAGAGATATCGAAAAGAGGAGACTGAACCGAACCTCAACTCAGAAGACATTATGGTATTCCTAGACCAGGTAGCCAAGACAGTATGCATAACACTACCGTACAGAGCTTCTACGCTGAAATAATTAAGTACTGTACTGTTAGATTTACATCAATCTCTGTGATGTTGCATGAAAATGGAGGCAGGAGTGGGATACGGACACGAGCAGGCACAAGCACACACGCACACGCGCGCACACACACACACACACACACACACACACACACACACACACACACACACACACACACACACACACACTCTTTGTCATCAAAGCGTGGGCTGTAATGGTGATGGTAAGAGAACTAAACCATTACTGCAACTTTTGCTTCATTACTTCTGTTATCGCCACGCACAAATTGTGCGTGCCGGCCACATGTTAAGTGAAGAAACTGATTACAACTCAGAATAGCTTAATAAGCGAGATGGAGCTGGTAGCAGCTGTGTGACTGCCTGAGGGACAGTCTATCGCCGTCTACTGTAAAGGCAACATCTGGATTCTCGCCCACAACAGTTTCCCGCAGGACATTATATTTGTTCTCGTTGGTCTAACCCTTGACCCGAAAACGTGAGTGTGATTGTGAACTGTTGAATCCTCTGAGAACTCTAGATAACTTTAATAAGTGTAATTATGTACTGTATATTGATCGTATTGTTCAAACTGTGTCCTGATGTACCAGCAGTTGTTATATGTGAATTGCATTCAACAGGTTTTGACCGAATTATACTCATCGCGTCAACGACAAGGGTCTTATTGTCCTCCACAAACCAAACTCGCTCCTATGAGCGATTACAACTACATTAATAACTATTATAGTGGGCAGTATTCAGTGGATACAGTACATGTACTGATATTATATTACGAGTATACCGTGTGTGTTGTAGTACAGTAGGTGGTAGTACAGGAGATGATAGTACAGTAGGTGGTAGTACAGGAGATGATAGTACAGGAGATGGTAGTACAGTAGGTGGTAGTACAGGAGATGGTAGTACAGGAGATGGTAGTACAGTAGGTGGTAGTACAGGAGATGGTAGTACAGGAGATGATAGTACAGTAGGTGGTAGTACAGGAGATGGTAGTACAGGAGATGGTAGTACAGGAGATGATAGTACACAGGTGGTGGTACAGTGGATGGCAGTACAGTGGGGTGGTGGTACGGAGATGGTGGTGCAGTGGGTGGTGGAGTACAGTGGATGGTGGTACAGGTGGTGGTACAGTGGGTGGTGAGTGGACAGGAGGATGGTGGTGCAGGAGATGGTGGTGCAGTACAGTGTGGTGGTAGTACAGTGTGGTATGGGTAAGATGAGTGGGTGGTGGTACAGGAGATGGTGGTACAGG